GCAGGTCTCAGAGGATTACAGCTAATGCTACACTAATACATTAAAATACGGATATTTTATAGCTAATATTAAATGGCAAGAAGATAATTTATGACCTTGAAATCTAAATGCCAGAAATGTTGTATGGAAGTGCCTGCAATTCATATAAATCAGGGATGGAAGAGATTTCCAGTAGATGCAGCATTAGCAACACCTTACTGCTAAATTGTGACAGACCAAATACTCTTGTATACGTGGCCCTCCAGTCCCTTTGCTTGGAGAAGACGCAGATTTTGACACCTCAGGGCACACTTGTCTGACTGAAAGCTGAGGGAGGCTGCTGTCCTCTTGCACCTGATCTGTAGAAGAGACTGAAATTTTGCCATAGCTGTAACTTGGAAACCTGTGTTAGTGTTATCAGTGATCCTACGATGTGGAAGTGACGCAACATACTAAACAAGAGCCACATACCCAGTTTCACCCATGGCTGGGTTTCTTTGCCCTGAGGAGAAGGACTTGGGGTATTGGGTGAGGAGAAGCTCCCCATGACCCAGCTTCAGTGAGTGCTTGAGCCCAGAACCCCCCCGTGTGCTGGGCTGCACCCCCAGAGCGTGAGCAGCAGCTCAGGGAGGGGATCCTGCCCCTCTGCTGCGCTATGGGGAGACTCCCCCTGCAGTCCTGATCCAGCTCCGGGGCAGCAGCACAAGAGGGACGTGGAGCTGTTGGAGCTGGGTCAGCCTGGAGAAGAGAAGGCTCCTGAAGGGGAGACCTGAGAGCAGCTCCAGTGCCTGAAGGGGCTGCAGGAAACATGGAGAGGGGCTTGGGACAAGGGATGTAGGGACAGGCCAAGGGGAATGGCTTTAACCTGCCAGAGGGGAGACTGAGATGAGCTCTTAGGCAGAAGCTCTTCCCTGTGAGGGTGCTGAGGCGCTGGCACAGGGTGCCCAGAGAAGCTGTGGCTGCCCCATCCGTGGCAGTGTTCAAGGCCAGGTTGGACACAGGGGCTTGGAGCAAGCTGCTCTAGTGGAAGGGGTCCCTGCCCGTGACAGGGGTTGGAACTGGGTGAGCTTTAAGGTCCCTTCCAAGCCAAATCAGTCTGGGATTCTTTGGCCTTGAACCCTTCCCTGTGGAAATCTGCAGGAAAATGACAGCAGTCATAATATTTAATTATCAAAAAAAGGATACTATATAATTATGAAAAAGGATATTAGCTATGCACAGGCAGAGGTGGCACCTGTAACAAGTTCCCGGAGCTATACCTCTACCTTGGGCAGGGGACTGCAGGGTCACAGACTGTCAAAGCTACTGAGATCATCTTTCATATCTCATGCATATTGCCTGAACAAACTGGGGCAGGGGCGATGTTCAGTACAGGTTAAAGTGACCAGGCTGTGTGACCACGGGGCAGATAGCCTTCCAGCAGCATCACGAGCTAAGCCTCTTTTCTGCCTTCCTGTGGATTTTCTTGTGTCATGGTTCAGAAGGCACCTGTCCCAACACCCTGTGGACACAGAGCAGTCATGTTGACAACAAATTACAGCACTGAACAAATTCTGTTTTCATCTCCTGTCACCTCCCTTTGGAAACTGTTTTGCCTGTGCCTAATTCTTTACACCATCCAGTCCCCAGCCAAAATATCAAGTCTGCATTACGTACCTCTGAATGACTGCCAGGGCTTGAACTGCTGATTAGAGATGTCAAACCTGACGGTTAGACCACTGCACTCTTCCCTCTGGGAAAGAGACAAGCATCTGGTCATTTTTTCTTTGCTGTGTTGGACTACTCAGGCTGAGAAGCAATTTGTTCAAATGTGTAGTCCTTTACCAGGAGGACTGTGCCCAAGATGAGACAAAAATTACAATGAATGGAAAAAGAGCCCGCAGCGGCTCAGCTCACCAACCGAGCCACGGCTTCCAATGAAAAACAGAACACACTGCATAGTGCTAGTCCAAAGTTAGCCAGTAGTTATTTGCCACTTCCAAATCTCTTTTTTTTTCTATAGACCCCTTGTTGTTCTGAAATCCGTGTTTCAACTTGAAAGCTAACATATTTATAAATGGAAAGTAAACTGATATTTGCAGACAAATTATCATTACGTCTGTTTAATCTCATTGTACTATTATCGCTTGGGCTGCCAAAGTGGCAGTCATTAACAATCCACTTTCTCAAAGTTACACGTTCCCATTGTTGGAATAAATTCGGCACCTGCAGCTATCTCAGTTAGGAGGGGCTGCCATGCGTTCAATGTTTCTCCATGTAACTACCCAGCATTGGTTGCTCCCTGCTGGCAAAAGTTTTTTGAGAAATGAAACAGATCTTGGAACCCCAAAATACCCTAATGGAGACCTGAGTTTCACAGAAAACAGACCTTTTCTATGGGATATATCTTCTAGGAGCATTTTGACATTCTGGATCAGGCACATCCCCAAAGGTACCTAATTTTTCTCCACTGGCTCCGTAAGGAAATTAGGCTTCTGACTTTGTTCAAATACAACCCAATTAGTTGCCTAATGTTGCCTAAAATAGAGGTGTGAATCTTCACTCTCACTCTCCATCCCCTGGGAAATACTGAGCGCTCTAACCATAATTTAATGGCAGGCATTGCTCAATATCTCTCAAAAGCAGCATTCCTGGCATTACGTTGCTGCTGAATGAAGTATGTGGTATGTCTTTCCCTAGGATGGACACTTTCTTGCTCAGGATTTCCAGAACCAAAACGAATTCTCAGTGTTACTACTGTTTTACCATAGGAGCATTGTAACAGAACTTGCAGTCTCAGTGCTATGAAATGGATGTTGAAATACTCCAAAATCAGATATGCATATAAAACTCATCAACTAATGAGCAGGCACAAACACATCTTCCATCAAACCCCACTATTTTCTACTTTGCCTAATTAATTTCAGTTTTTTGTATAAATCAATCCTATTGCTTTGTCCAAAACCAGAAGCAAGAAGGACTCCACTATCAAAGGCAGCAAGGGAAAATCAGAAGTGCAAAAAAACCTTTCAAATTTCAGAAGTGATATGGAAAGTACAAGGCAAAGCTAATATTATAACCTATTTGAAGTTATACATGTTGTTAACTCCTTTCTTTTTATATTTATATTATATTTCTCAATGAATATAAATCAACATAGCTCTTACCTGTCAATTCATATCAAGTTCTATTCCAGGATTTCTCATCCCTCTCCACTTCTTTTAATGTTAATTCAAACTATCTCATGAATAGAATGGAAGTACCATAATAGCCTGAGAAATGTAACCAGCAAGAGGACAAGAGGAGTACAGCACAGGGGAGTTTTCTGCTTTAGAAGAGAAAATCATCCTCCCTCACTTATAGTTACAGGTCTGGCTGTGAAACCTGGCTAGGGAAATGTCTCACTGTACTGTCATTGATTCTAAATAGCCCCAGTTTCTGTAATCCCTGCTTGAAAACAGTAGTTTTTAATTACCTTTCACTTATTTCCAGTGTGAAAGCTGATTTCAGGCAGTCGCTCTAGAAGTCTTAACATTTGATGATGTCAGGATTAACTTCTTTCTCTCAATGCTCCACAGATGTTGGGAAGCTCCTACTAGGTTTATCAAATGCCAATAATCAAGTCAATACAATAAGCAGTCCTGCATGCCAGGGGCAACAAGAAATGTCCCAGTGTAATATATGTCAAATACCAGCCTTTTGTAAGTCTTCCGAATCACAAAACAGTAGCACTTTTAAGGAATTCATAGCGAACAGTAAAAAGCTCACCAGTGAATATCTGAATGTAACAACTGAGTAAGCAACTGAAATCTAAGGAACATAAAATCCATCTCTTATTTTGATATTAAAGATATTTGGGGCGTTATGTATCTCAGAAAGGGAGCATGCAACAAAAGCTGACATTCAGGAGCAGAGTGAAATAGTAGATTAAGAGAGACTTGAGCTTTCAGAGATCTGGGCAAGTATCAGTAGCTCTGTGTGCACAGGATTTTCATTTATGCTACACCTGCATACTGAAACAGAATACACAACCCCCAAGAGTGGAAGTAGAGACTATAGCATAACATACATTGCTTCCTTCAGGCATGCTCTGTGTTAAAAAAACCAAATGACCAACCAAACCATGCATGATTTTTATGACAGTTTGCACTGAAAGTGAATTCAGCGACAAGCTTCCACATGTTGGCTGCTGACTGGGTTTTTTTTTTTGCCAACACTACTTTTTGGTCATACCTAGTTTCAGGGTTTGGGCAAAAAAACAAGTAACAGGAAAATTCGAAGTGTAGGCAGGAAGAGAGAAGCTTTCAATTAAGATACTTAAGGTTATACAGATGTACAGCAGAAGTATTCCAGATAATACACAAGAAAGCCCTTTTCAGTCTGAGATCATGACTAGATACAGAGAATAAAGAAACCTCACCCAGATGGCCTTGGCAGTGCTGGGGAACAGTTGGACTGGATGATCTTGAAGGTCTTTTCCAACTTGGTTGGTTCTATGATTCTATGACTTTCAAAGTCTCCTCATACCTTTGAAAACACAACCAGGTTCCCTGGGCAGGCAAATGACTGTACTAGCTCTGAAAGCACCCGTCCTGAGATGCTGGTGGGCAGCAGTGAGGAGATGCTCTTGGAAAGACGCGGCAGAGTTGCTGTCTTGATACACAAGGGAAAATTAGGGAAATGGGAAGGAGCAGGTGTGAGAAGGAGAGTTAATATGAGGGTGGACAATGCAGGCTGAGATGAAGTCTAAAACCCAGCAGAGAAGGCTGGTGGTGGGGATCTGAGGCACACCACAGGTTGTTCCTGTCCCTACTAGCAGAACCCATGGGGGACACTGCTTGCTTACAGGAGCAAGGAGCAAAGCCTGCCCGGCCAGAAAGAGGTCCTTGGTCCTACCAGGAGCAAGAGCAGTGCAGTGTGGTCATTTCTTATAAAGAGGCATCTTTCTTCAGCTGTATACATGAGTTTACACCAACCTCCCACTCATATGAACTCTGTCACTGTATTTCATCATACTTTTGAAGACCTTGTCAGAGAATGTGTGAGTAAGTACATATTTATTAATACAGTGTTGAGCTGTATTTCTGCTATATACTGTGGAAGTTTGTCGTCAAATATCCCATACACTGGCTATGGCTGACGATAGCTCTCCTGTTTCCTCTATCTGAAAAAGAAAATAAAATAGAAATAAATATCCACCTCTGGGGAAAATAATCTAGACACAGTTAAAATGAGATATTTTCCTTATTAAAATGTCAGGCTTAGAGCTCACTTGACACACTTTTTTCTCTGAAATGGTTTGGACCCATACACAACAGTGTACAATACTTTTCATAACAGAGCAGTCCTTGTGGTCTGCATTTATCATGCAGCTTTTTTAAGCAGTGTGTTATCAAGGGTGGGTTTTTATTTCCCTTTCTCCTGTGGAAATCTTTTTACGTCATTGTCAATGCTTGGAATATCATGAAATGTTCCCCCTTAGTTAGACCAGAGGTTGTTTTTCGAATGCAGACATGAAGAGAGTTTACAAACCACAGCAATGGTGTGTGTGTATTTGTATATATATACCTATATATATATATAGTGCAAGATGTAGGACAGCTGTGAAATAAGGGCTTCTGAAACACACACAGGCAGAGGCATTTTGCTTTGTTAATGTTTCTCATACTTAAAATTTCATGCATCTGCGTTAAGTGCCAGATGTCAGCAAAAGTTGTGACAATAATAAAGTCTCATAAGCATTTAACCCCATCATTGAGATACAGCAAGTACAGGGTTCGTGCTTCCACAGGCAAATCCCATCCCTGTGTAGGAAGCTCCTGGAGCTGCACCCAGGGATCCTCCAGCTTCAACCTTCTCTGCCAACCAAATCAATGGCCTCTTGAAGTCAAGTTTGTCAACGATGACCTAGAAACCACAGCTTGTAGATCAACAGAATACCACTAGTGTATGTGCAGCAGTAAAAGCTCTCAGGGTTCAGCTGTAACTCAGGCTGGACAACACACTCCTGCTAATAATACCAGGAGTTGCTCAGGGTCACAGAGCTACCACAGTGCTCATGTACAGGAATGTATGTGGTGTTCAGAGTGTACAAACAGGTAGAGCAAAAAGCCATCTACCCCTTTCCAGCTCTAAACCTTTGCCACCTACATCCTGGGGGATAACTCCGTTTGCTGTGGCAGGTAGCGAAGTGATGCCCCAGTCAGGGCACAGCATGACTAGAAACTGGAGGAGCATGGAGGAATTAGATGGGTGATGTGGGAATTACAAAAGTCTTTTTCAGAAGCTTTCTGCATTGGTCTCTACTGGAATCCTAGCACTGGAGAAAAGTCAGACCAAAAGTGAGTCTGACTCATTTGGCACTACAGCAACTGCAGGGGTCAGCACGTGCTTCCTAGGATTCCCGAGGCTTCACAGCTCCTGCCTCACTCTGCTACACACCGGCATTGGAAAGGTACAATCCCACGTCGTGCAACATGCAAATTGCTGTAATTGCATGCTGTCCAAGAACAGCACTTTAAAAAACTAAAAGCAGGAAAGAGACACTTCATCTTATGGCACAGTGATGAAAAGGCAAAGGCTTTGCTCAGCACAAGCCACAGATTTCAATTCCCAGGAGCCTGCAATTCTCATGACAACAAACAGGTTTTATTTTATTTATTTGTCAGGACTGTTATTACTGTGCTGCTCGCTATTTATCTCTCCTACTGCGCTGCTAATCACAGCGCATGGTGTGGTATGTGCCTGGCTTGGGGGTTTATGGATATGCTAAAACAGAAGGCAAGGGGCTGAGCCAGGCACCTGCTCACTTACGAGAGGTCACCATACAGTCCATAATTCCTGGGGCACCAATATCCCTGCATTCCACCACCCTCAAGGGTGACCACCCTGTCCATAGGCCTGAATTCATGTCTCCAAATAACTCACACCCTCTTCCCTGCATCCCAAACTGCTCCTTGGAGCACGCTCCACATTGTGCTTCCAAAGGTGTAAAAATGGCTTATGGTAATTTTTCAATAACTTCTCTTCCCACAAGATTTCCCTTTGCCAGACACATGCAGTAATACACAATTTCATTGCACCAGCTGCTTGGGAAAGATGGAGTTTTATTTGTGTCTTCTAGCGCTTTTGGAAATTAGCATGTTACTTATGTTGCTGCTTCTTTGTAGACATTTTTCTATGGTAGTAATTTGTTAAAATATGATTCTTTAGTCTACACCTATTTTATTGTGCATTTTCTCCCATTTTCTGCTTCCCTTGCCCTCTTTTTGGTGTATAGAACAGGTTTTTCTTTGGTACCTCCACTCCACAACACAATTACACAACCTGGTCTTGTGGAAGGTGTCCCTGCCTGTAGCAGGGGGTTAGAACTGGATGAGCTTTAGGGTCCTCTCCAACACAAACCAGTCTGTGATTCTATGAATTAGAACTTTTGGCTATTTGCTTACTGTTGAGGGAAACCTGCTGTCTCCAAACTAAGACCCCCTGCCACCATACAAGCATGTTCTCAATAAAATGGGCTTTCTGAAGATGAAAGCTTAAGAGTAAATATTGTCCATATAAATTTATTTAAAAGAGATATTTAAGAGTTTGATATAGGTATATCAGCGTTTTCTGTAAACATACATTTTATACAGTAATGTTGCAGTTAGAATACGTAACTTCAGGCACATCAGAGGCTACTGTTTTCCACCTCTCAATCTCACAGTACTTACCAAATAACACCTCTCCAATTTTCTGAGATTCAGGAAAGGGGAAAGTGAGGGGCAGGGAAACTGTGACCTGCCCGAGTCACACAACAAATAAGCATCCCGAATCCCACTTTCATATTCAGGCCGCTGGGACCTGGATCCTTTATAATGATTTGAGCATCAGTTGTGGTTAGATTTTGTTTTCAGAAGAGAGAAGTTAGTTTCCAGGATCCTATATAACCACAGCAGCTCAAATAACTCTGCTTCTCCCCATTGCAGACATGTAAATCACACTTTTTCATGACTGCATTGCTGCCCAGGGCTCCAGTTATGGCTCAAGTAGACCCAGCAAAAAAATCCACATTACTTCAGAGATCTGCACAGAAACTTGGGGATTTACATAGTGCTGTGTCGTGGTTTAAACCCAGCCAGCCAGCTTGTTCACCCACTTCCCCCCCCCCCCCCCCCCTTCTTGTCCTCCCCCTACTCCCAGAGGGACGGAGAGGAGAATCGAAAAGAATGCAACTCCCACGGGTTGAGATAAGAACAGTTTAGTAACTAAGGTATAACACAAATCACTATTGCTACCACCAATAATAATAATGATAAAGGAAATAACAAGGGAAGAGAATACAACACCTCACCATCAGCCGACCGATAACTCGCCCCCCCAGCCCGACCAAGCTCTGCCGGATACCTCCTCCAACCCTGCAGACTCCCAGCCCTTCCAGCTAACTCCCAGTTACATCCTGGGCATGACATGCTGTTTTATGGAATACCTCTTTGGTCAGTTTGGGTCAGGTGTCCTGTCTCTGCTTCCTCGTGGCTTCCCCTCCACCCTGGCAGAGCATGAGGCTCACAAAGTACTTGCCCAAACCAAAACATCGGTGTTATCAGCTCTGTTCCCAAGCTAAAAGTCAAAACACTGCACTGCACTAGCTACCAAGAAGGAGAAAACTGACTGCTACTGCTGAACCCAGGACATGCTGACAGCCAGAAATCAAAGTCTTGTGGACTGTAACAGATTACTGAATTATAAAGACAGGGGAGTGCAAACTCATAGCTTGGAAATGATGAATTTGCAGCTGCCTCTGAAGAAAGAGCAGGCTTTCATTGTCTGGCATGAGCACTGACAATTAAAGGCTAGGTCTACTGATGTACTGTACCCTCAAAAGTTTTAAGTAGGAGAAACTCAGCCCTCAGTTCTTCAATTATCTGAATGCACTTACGTATCAGTAATATGTGACAGATGCAATTATAATGGGTATACATAAATATTATGTCAAGCAACAGGTCTGCTTCCAAAAAGCTTGAAATTAAAGATTCTGGTTTAGTATGAAGGAGGCAAGAGCCTGGTAGCCTCTTGTTATACAAGTCTTCTCATGAGAACGGAACACTCATTTTGGGCAACTTTAAAGGCAAACTACAGGTCATTTTGCACTACAGCCATTGGGCTAGGGCTCAGCAACAGGGATGTAGCATCACCTCTGCCTTGCAGCACTACCTCATGTCACCTCTGCCTTGCTTTTCCCAAATGTAAATTGTAAAATTGCAATTGCAAATAGTTAAATGAAGTTATGATGGTCATGATGAGGTCAATTTTTTTTAAGGTGAGGCCCTGGGAATTTTAAACCAAAAGAACTACAAATAGGTGCAGTTTGTGATTAATTCCAATGGTTGTAATTTTTGAATTGGTAGTGCCTGGAGCATTAAACTTTGACTTTACCTACTGCATGTTTCCACTCAGGACAGCAGCAATTGAAGCTTTCCTGTACTCTCTCCCTGATGTTGTTCACTCCCTGAGTGGCCTGGGCTTGAGCTTGTAGGATAAAGCTGGAAGCTCATTTTCTGTTTTCATGTCTTTTCAGGCTCTTGGACTGCGGGCTGTTTGCAACAAAGGTGAAAATTGGGAACGAGAGCAATAATGTGCATTGTGAGGGGCATCAGTCCACTAGGATACAGGTGAGACTGATCCTCCTAATTCATTTCATGTCAGGGATTTGAATCCGACACGGAGATGAAAAGCTCTGCCTGCTATCACAGCCACAGGAGCCATCCCTCCCCGACACATTATCACATGCCGCACCAGCAATCATGTCATGCTCAATGTACTCTACTCAGTATCAATTACGTCAGCATAATGAAATCCGAATGAAGGAAAACATTCAAAGACATACAAATAAATACATACTAAAGATAGAAAAAGAAATTAGAGGCTGTATTTTGACCACAAGGTCTGCACTAGTTGCAGCTTAAGGAAGATAAGTGAGCCTGGACCCATTCCCCCGCAGCCCACAGCAGCTCTGTGGCGAGATAGGACAGCTAATCTGGTTTTCCATTTCAGCAGTGTCGTTTCTGAACCTCTTAGGGCTCATATTAGGTGACAAAAAGTGACCATGAGCCCTGCTGATGCTGTCTCAGCAGAATGGTATTTGAAAAAGTTATTCAAGCCATTAATCCTTCAGTGCCAGCA